ATAATAAAATTCTTCTTGATATGATATTTATTCGAATTTTTAATAATAACGGATTTCTTGATATTAATATTAATGGTCGTGTGACCTATATTATTAATAATGAGTAAAAAATAACACGATTTACAGTCGTACAATTCATTAAATCTAAAATAATAAGTACTAATATTACTAATGAATGATAATGATTTCATGGTCGAAAATGATGCTTCTTCAACTTCAATTTCTTCAACAAGCACAGCAACAAGAACAAGAAGCATTGCGTGGAATCATTTTACAACCATAGATGAAAAGGCAAGATGCAATTATTGCTCCAGGTAAAAATTTTTTTGTAAATAAAATTATAAAATATAAAGATTTTTCATTTATTATATATAGTGTATTTGATTCAATTCAGTTATTATTATAGATTCGAACCAGTCAGTTTGAATCAAGTCAAATCAGTTCAAATCGAATTATATATTCGAATCAGTTCAAATTGAATCAAATTATATATTCGAATCCGTTCAACCAAATCGAATCAAATTATATTAATATATTCGAATCAAATCAAACCAAATCAACCCGAATTCGAATCCATTCGAATCAAATTATATATTCGAATCAGTTCGAATCGAATCGAATCGAATCGAATCAAAGTACAATTCGGATTCGATTCGATTTCGATTTGAATGAAACGAATCAAAAATTAAATGATTCGAATCGATTCGAATCGAATTTCATTGATTCGTTCGGCAAGTTACACAAAAAGAAGAACAAAGATTTAAGGATGCTGAAATTACCCGGGAGTGTTATATGAAATTAAACAAACCTGTTGAGTCCAATAATCCAACTTATACCTATCTTAATTTAATTATTGATCATGCAACTACAGAAAAAAATTCCATTGCATTTGGAATGGCTGTTACATTAAATTATCTAGATCCTTCAAAAGGCATCAAATTGATTCAATGTCAAAAACAATCAATAATTGTTTTGGATCTTAATAATAAAATCATGCAACTACAACAACAATTAGAAAATTATGAACATGAAATATCAGAATTAAAAAGGGATTTAAATACTTCTTATAATCACATAGATGAAATTCAGAATCTATATGAAGAACAATTTAGCAAAAATAAATAACTCCTTGAACGATGAGATTCATGTTTTAGCAATCAACAAAAACATATATAGAAGCTATAAAAGAAATTGCAAATGCTGAGCATGAATCAATTTATGATGACAATGACTTATTAATTGCAAATAGTAATAGATTTTCATTAGAAAATCTTATGAGTTACACACCTCAAACTTGGTTAATCAACATAATCAAGTTGTTGTGAAATTCATTGAAACTCTAACTCAAAATAGTTATAATTCTGATGACCTAAACCAAGAAAA